TGTTTTGTGTGTACTTTAGAAATGAATGATTTATGTTGGCTCCTGTTTTGGCTTTGCAATTTTCAGTTGTGAGGTCTGGCTGCATTCTCCACCATCACATTCTCTCTCTCTCTCTCTCTCTCTCTCTCCCTCCCCCTCCAGGATGTCTACATTATTTATGATGGAAGTACCATTTCACCACAGCTTTCTGAGCTTGCTATAGTACAGTATAGCTTTTTGCTGGCAGCATAACAGCCACTAATTTTTCATCCCATTCAGCCACACAGGGGAGAGCTACAGTGTCTAGCAGCGATGAAGTCAGATTGTATAGACTCCATCACTCTGAGTATAACTTACACCATACAGCCATGACTGCTCACCTATGGGAATTAAATTCCCGAGTCCTTGACGTTTCATATTCCAATCATTAGCTTGGTTATGGATCAGACCAAGCATGTTGGGGGAGCTTGTGAAAGGCAGCTTACTAACTGCATTAAAATGCCTAATATACACCGAGGCTCTGATATACTAAGGTAAAAACATCAGTCTGTTAGGGTTATGTCTTTCACATGAGCAAGTCTTTTGTGTGTTTGCCATAATGAATATGCAATTACATAAAAAAAAAAAAAATGGATGGATCCCTGCAGTACCAAAACAATCCACAGGGATGCTGCAGCCCACACGTGGAAAATACACTTACTGTAGGTGTGAATGTGTGTGCATGGTGTGATAGACTGGCGTCCCATCCATGGTGTATTCACACCTCACACTCAGCGTTCCCAGGTTAGGCTTCAGATGAATGAATGAATGAATGAATGAATGAATACAAAAATCAATAAATTCAAACAAATGAATCCAAAAGAAATAACCCCTACATTACACACTTTACGTTATTCTTATTTTAATTCAGGCAGATTTCTACATTTGATGGAGAGGACATGGCACAGGTGGGAGTCGCCTGAAAGCACTTTTTTGCATTCAGGTATACAAGACCCTTCCTATTCCAGGATTTGTATTTCACTTTGTTCCTCTTGGGTCAAGACAGCCTGAGCATTATTTCTGAATTTACACCGGAAAAAAAAAGATCGTTTTAAATGAGTCATTTTGACCTAAATATAACCTAGGAGTCAAATCAGCTGGATAAATAATGTAGGCCCATATGCTTTTGTGTCCTTACGGAAAGACAAAAGTGACGCTTATTGTCAGGCCTCATTGCAGATGACAGCGATGTTTGGATTTGCCGAAGCCTTTAAGTGCACTTAAGTGGCTCGTCATTATTCTCTCTCTGTAGCCATCGAGCGGCAAATTAACAATGCAAATCAATGGAGCTGAATGGCGCGTGTTTTATTATCCTCCCTCTCAGATGTATTTAGAGCATGAATGATTATTATGAAGATAGATTACGGATGGATGGCGCCGTAGGCACTCTGGGAATCAGTTGGTATCCACACAAATTGGTCTAATTTATTATTATATTCTCCTGCACTGCATTTTTGAGAGAAAAATTTCATTCCATTTTTGTGAATTTAATATCATTACTCACTACCTGTAAAGCGGAAACAGTTGCTATGTTCTCTCTCATGGTCTTTCAGCAAATGAAGGGGTGAAATGAAGTTGCTGTAGCTGTATTTGCATTATGTAATATGAACTATTTATATTATCGTTACCAGAAATATGCTCTAGGGCAAAGGCTCTAAAGGTCACATAATCTATAGTTTAAATCTTTCCTGTTGGGATTATTAATAGTTGTAAATACTGTTTTCTAGTAAAAATGTTTTTGATGTAGGAATATATCCACTTAGCTTTATTAGTAAAGTAAATACTGCTGCAAAAAATATTTTATAAGTGAAAATGCCTTGAAGATGGGCAAACTTATATTTGTTGTTATGAAATTATTATAAATAAAATCTAAGCTTGTTAGATTTCTTTTTACTAATGTTAGTGTTGACTCATTTCAAGCTTTACATTTTCTTATTCTATATCCTGATAATTTTGCTTCTTTTCTAGAAATAATTGCATAAAATGAGCAAAAACATATATATAAAAAAATATTGGTAATCTAATCATGTGAAATGTTAGATAAATCTGAATATGTTCAAGATATTTCCACTTGCTTAGATGCCATTTTTGCACTATTTCGCTCTCCACATCTTCCCAAAATTCCTCGCAGCATAAATAGCATATGGATTTGTCATCTGGGAAGTTGGAAATCTCTCCAGCAAGCTTAATTATGGATCCTAAGAAGGATTGTGGGAAAACATATTTAAAACTGGGTTTATGCTAATGATTTTCCCAACCATCTTTCTTTTTTTTTCTTTCTTTCTTTTTTTTTTTTTGGAACAGAGATCAAACAATCAGACGCACTTTGAAATTCTAATACCGATGCCCTAGACATCTTGTACAAATGCCTTTGATTTGTCTAAGAGGGTCTTGCCCCAGTAGCCTGATCTTGACAGCTAACCTCATTAAGTATAGCTCTTGTCTTGCCAGATATAGAAATAACCACAAAGAGGCTTGGTTATATTTGCCTTTATTTCTAAATCACATTTCCATCAAATAATTACGGGCTTGTTTGTGTCTGTTAACGCTCATACACGTACTGTTAGACTGATACAGCTAGCATAAAAAGTAATATTGTCAGAAGAAGCCAATAGAAATTAGACACAGTCATTCAATTTTTGTCTGTAGTATTCAGGTCTGGCCTGAATATTTCTAGACTAGATAACCAGAAATCTTTGCAGATGTAAAAGCCGTTTTCAAAGAGATTCTCCAGTGGTTTTCAACCTTACCTATATTGACCATGCCTGCTGTGTAAGGACAAGAATTTTAACTGGTATGACTGACTCTACACATAATCAAAGCCTAATAATTAATGGACTGAAAGCATGTCATTTAGTAAAGGAAAATAGAAAACCATGTCAACGATTATACGTGAGGTGGAAGGAGTCTCCTGTGCAAACACTTGTAACAGGCAGGTAACATTCAGGTTTTTTTTTGCCATGGGAAAGTCATAGTGGGCAGAGGATGTTATTAAAAGTAACTCCAAATGGATAAAATGTACAATATGACGTTCTGTCAAAACACTTCAGGTTGTGCTGTACTCAGAAAAGAATCAACTCCAAGTTGTTAACAGCAGTCCACAATGATGTTACTTTTCTTATAACAGCAAAACCAAGAGTTTTGTTCTTTTAAATGATAAACTTGACCAGTTCTTGGTAGTGTAGTTACACCCTCCGGTATCACACCATGGATAATTAGTGACCTTATCACTTTTGTCACCACCTCAGTTATCTGCACGCTTCTTCCAAATGTTTACTTTTTTTTAAATATATTTAGATGGCATTTTATTCCCTGGTGGCCATGTGCTCCACTGTCCTCTTTTACAAAGCCCGGTTTATTAGATGCAAATTAATGAAAATCTGGTGTCTTTTTGTGTGCTTCTGTTGTGACATTAGGTGTGCCTTGTTGTGGGCGTGTTTGCATGACCTTTCCGGCGTGGTATGGTAATTAGAATAATCTCCTGTCACTAGAATTAATTATCTTTAACGAGATAGCCCTATTTACTCAATCCAGCGATTTGCATATTATTTTGTTTTCCATTGTATTCGCTAAAATGGAGCGGTTGGGTCAAAAATTGACATAATGAATCACATTGTCTACTACTTTTGCCTGACAATTTCTGATAAATTGTATATTGAATTATGGAATAGATTTATTCATTTGGGAACAGTCGTGTCTGGTTTTGCCCATGCACTTCGTCATCGGAGATTTTCTGAGGAAAAGAACAGGCTGATTTGTTCTGCAACATAAAGTCGGCGCGTCTGCTGATGCCCACCATCTGGTTTTGTCTTTTAGTTTAGTCTTTTTAACCATCTTTCATACTCTGAATATTTCTTCTGACATTTCAACATGTGCAGTCTTCATGAATATCGAATATTGTATCCATTTATCCATTGCTCATTTTTCTGCCTGTTAGAAATTCTTGGTGGTTTATTGCCTCATATTTGTGACTTATTGCGTTGCAGTTATAAGTCGCATATTGCAGGCTCCCTGTTACTGAATGAGCCTGAAGACGTTTTCTGTAGCAGGAGAAAGAGTCTAAGTTTAACTCTTTACGTTCAGTGTATTCAATTTAATGTGAACTGAGAAGTGTAATTTGGATGAATGAATTCGTTATATTTGGTTATTGATAAATCAACTTTATTTATATTTAGTTTTAACTAATTTATATATGTATATAAAATGCCGTATTCAGTTGTGGACAGAACATGGTTTAAACATTGAAACATGAAAGGGCAAAGGATTATAAAGTTTTTCTGATGGTCCTGATTTCAGACATTAAAAGAAAAAAAGAAAAGTCTACATTTGCATAGTTATTCTGATGCTCAGCCTCACCGATCAATAAAAAAATAAGCCTCATGGTCCCTATTTAGTCCTTTTCTTGGCTCCACATGTCAAGAAAAGTGCTTGCCCTGTTGTCTGGAGATTGCACGTTCGAATCTCAACAATGCTACAGCCCTTCCTGGCTGGGATCCATGCTTTCTCTCCTGTCAGTCACTGGAAAATTGTGCTCATATATGCGGAAAGAGGGAAGATAGCACTTTCCTCTGAAGGATGCACTGTGATGCAGCACGGAGAAAAAAAATGTGTTTATTTAGAAATGTTAGGTTTATAAATTAAACAGCTAAGCGTATATGTACCAATGTACGTATGTCCTACTAGATGCTACTTTGTCCACATCTGCCTTTTGTTCCATACTCCTGCAAATACGTGGCGTGCAGTGTTCACACACCTCTTATGTTAGACCTGATATTACGGCATGTTCCGTTTCATCTACTGAGTGACTGACTGCTGTAGATTTGGATTATTTTGCTGATATTTTAAGATCCATTAAAATTTGTATTTAACATGGGCGCACCCTAAATGCAAGACGAGGAATTTAGTTGAATTTGACCAATTGCGATGCAAAAGTAGATCTGCTTGCTCCCACAGCTCTAGGGGTCATTTTGTCCTTCACTGTAGCATTGGTGGTTTAGTGATTAATCTTTTGCCTGCCATGTTGGGGGACTAGGTTCTATTCCTACCCAGTGCAGTTTAAGCTTTTACCAAATCGGTAGTACAGTCTCAGTATTGCACGTGAAAATAATGCTTCCTAAAGGTGTTCCACTTGGACTTTTTGTTTTTTTCCTACTACTTTCTCACTTATGTTTTTGAAAGTAAGCGCCTCTGTTTAGGATTCTACATATTCTACATATCTTCCGTCAGAGGGACAAACCAAAGAAGCCTCAAGACTTAGAGATGAGAGGATTGTCACAAAACTATTATGTAAAAATGTTCTCAGAGCCTTATGAAAGGAAAAAATGCAATTATAACTAGTACTAGGTTCCACCTCGAACGTTATGATGAATTATAATATAAGTCTGACTATGAGTTGAATTCTTACCTGCCATGATATCGGTGGTAAGCAAGTGAACTTCTTAATCATCACATGCTAGATTATACTTAAAGGTCCCTCCTGCTTCAGAAGCATCTTAAATGGCAGCTTCAATCTTCAGAGCAGCTCAGTTAAATTCGGCAGAGCTGACAGGGACTAGACAAGGACATCTTACTGTAGCAACACAGCATGGAGCCAATGATCTTTGTGTGTTTGCATACGTTCACTGACATTCTTTATGAATGGCTACGGCACATACTGTGCGTGACTCACTGTATCCTTCAGTAGAGGTGCAGGTGTGATCTTCACTGTCGCTGTGATGGATAGCCATGCCTGACCTCTGACTTGTGTGTGTTGTGAAATAAACGGCCATGAGCCATACCTTCACAGCCGACCTATCTGGAGTCTGGGAAGGTTGCCACGATGATGCAGGAATTGTCTTTCGCTTGAGGAAGTGTGATTGTGGTTTACTATTCTTTTTTTTTTTTTTTTTGTACAGTTTTTTGGATTACAGCAACAGAAGGTGCAACTCTATAGTTTCCAGGTGTGAGAATTCATCGAAGCAGGAAGGTTGGTCTTATGCAATGGTGACAAAAATCTCTGTTCACTCGAATCGAAGAGGACGTCTACTTCCTCCAATTTCACATCGCTCCCAGTTCATCTAGATGAACTTCAATGCTGAGAATGCCAGTCTAGGAAATGTGGGCCAACAGAAAACAAGCATGGGACTAGAGTCATATCTTACTGGGAGGCTAAACATGGAGGAAGTGCTTATTACCATTTTGCTACGGGAAGAATTCCTTTCTGCTCTTTAAGCAGGACTGACAAACACCAAACTAGGTAGCTGGCTAAGATTAGCTGTTCACTGAACCACTAGCAACTTACATTGAGTAATACCCCACCCTCCCCTACTACCTATCTGTATATATTCTCCTATCTAGAGGGCACACTGCTGTCATTCATTTTTACACCTCATCAAACATGCTGGTCAGACACGTTGCTCTTTCCAGTCTTCAATTCATAGACACTCGCATTATGCATTAGGGGACAATGATGTCTGGTGCTTGACTCAACCTTAGAGAAGCAGCTTGTGTAGTTTAGCTGTGTGTACATGTGTGATTATGATTGTGCTTGGCAAAAAGAATAATTAAATGAGAATATGCAGGAAGCGTAATTGCTGTAATTTGCCAACACAGTCTGATCTTGCTCCCTCCTGTGTAATTAAGGGTTTTTGCATTGTATTTGTCCAGATATTCACCAAAGGCATTGTCTGCCTGGGGTACCAAGTGTATACATCAATATAGAATGACCTCTATTTCTTTTTTAACCACACTTATTGGGCCATATTCAGAGTTGAGGTAAGCACCTGTATAGAGAATTGAATACTGAAGTTAATGCACATTGTTATTCAGACATTAAGCAACATTTACTCTGTTGTGCCTGATTTGGGCATGTGGGGTCAAAAACGATGGTGCGTCTCAGTCACGTGCGATTCCTACCTTGGACTTACTGAATTGCGTATATGGGATTGAAATGCACATATTTACTGAATAAAATATATAGAAGCGGTTTTCGTGTTATGTTGTTTAACCACTCAGAAAAAGACTTCAAATCGGAGAGGCCTCACACAAAGGAAGAATAGCCCGACTGAATACGCTTTGTTCTGTGAGTATAATGGCGCATACATAGGGACAAAGATAAATGTGTCTCTCTTCTGGATATGTAAGCTTGTGCTTGTGATTTATGTGCAAGGTGCATTCCAATGCAATCTCCCTCTGGTGCGTGTTCACTTTAAATTTGTGCATTGGGCTCTGACATAGTGAGGTTTCTGAATATGATATTCCTTAGCAAATGAAGAAACACAAGCCTATGTAAGAAAGACGAGGGCTATGAAACAATCATTTCAGTTTATGAATGAAATCACATACATACATACATACATACATACATACATACAAGTACGTACATACATACTTAAATACAGATATACAGACTTGGGCTCGAGTAGTGAGGATTTAATAATGAAATTGAAGACATATACTGAGGTATTCAGACCTCAGACTTAACTACAGACTTAAGCGCTATTCAGAGAGTTGAGCGAGAGCTGAGCGAGAGTTACGCATGCAGGGTGGAGTTTACCAAGGCGTGACTCAATTAGGACAAAAGGAGGGGCAGGTGAGACTGTTTCTAACTGTTATAGTATAAGTGAATACAGGAACTAGCTTGTTTAACAAATGTTCCACAACATTAAATGTAACTGTAAAAGTAAAAATGTATGTGCCCTTCTTTAGTTAATGGAAAACTGTAATCACTGTCAACTTGCTGTGGTATAGGAGGAGCGTGCTGTTACAGGAAAATATTCATCTTTGGGGTTCCCTATTTGAGTGACAATGTTTGTGTCCCATATCCATAACCACACCTCTTATTCTATTATAGAGTGTGGTTCATTATGTCTTTTTATTGTCAGCCTTACATTATCCATATTCCATCTAGATTGAGAGTATTTTGGAACAGTTTTCATATGAGCCAAATGTTAAAAAGGTAGTGTAGTGTTTTCAAATGTATTTCAAATTTCAAGTGAATTTCTGAAAAAGATAGAAAAAAGAAAGCCTTAACTACTAGTTTGTCAACTAGTATTGTATTGAATATGCTGAAAAGGAGCAACAAGGCTACAAGAAGAATGCCATCAAAACCTGCACGCTTTGTTTATATCATAAGTCCTTTCCAGAACCACCGGTCTGGTTGTCATCTCAAAAGATTTATTATATATACCGTAAGGAGTTCTGTGTCGAGCAGGGTGAAATCTCCGAGCTGTTTCTCCTCACCTCTCGCCAGCTTTTGCCATTCATAATCCGCAGTCTGTAAACAGCCTGTCTTGTATATTTCACAGACGCTTAGTGAAACCTTCCCTGTTCGAATGCATAACAGCAACAAATAGGGTTTTGGGAAACTCCTAGCCTTCTGCACAAGGCTAGATTCATTCACATGTACACACCAATCCATTTTTTGGTTTGTTTTTTTTTTTTAATAAATTTTGAAATACACGAGTTTATAACTTTAGCAATATTTTACACCTGACATAGAACTATATGATATTATCTCTGGTTATGTGTAGATACAGACAGAGATGATGTATGACACTGATATAATTTCACACCATGTTATAGTGTGAGGTCTGTGATATGATCTTTTAATGAAGAGCTAATAAAAGCCATGAAAAGCAGCCAGACTGGATTAGTACTGTAACTGTCATGCTTGGGTTTTCAGGTTACCCGTTATTTGTGCACCTCAAGCCATCTGTGCTACAGAAAGAGATAAAGGCCCGGTCATAGAGTAATGCAAATTATTGTATCTGTATATTGATTGTGTGTTTGCTCAACATGCAAGCACTCAAATCCTCAGGAGCTGCTGCAGGGCCAAAATTTCAATTCCAAAGACGCGACTGTGAGACTGCTGCGAATTGGGCAGCGCCACAGGCACAAATATTAATTCCGCTGTGCAATTGAGGGGCACTGAGACTAACTGCACATGAATGCTTGCATTACCCTGATTAGGCATGACATGTTCAAGCACACACATCACTGTTTTGTTCGTGTTGGATCCATTGTCTTGGGGAACAAACATAACACCGGCGTCTTTCTGAGGTTATCAGAGGATTCATTTACAACTTTTGCAGATCCAGACTTGAGAAACTCTGTGCTCACTGTGCATTACTTGACACTCTACTGCAATTTATCCTTCCTCAAGTTAGTGTAACCATAATTTACTGTAATCCATGGGTGCAGTGGATCACATTCTTTGCTGTTAACAGTACTATGGCTTAGTAATATTTAGTTTTATTTTGTTAACATTAGTGTCTGGTCTCAAGACATTTTCTATATTGGCTTGGACTTGTCTCTGGCTTCCTGGCATTTGTACTTGACTAAATGTGATCTTGGTCTTGACGGAAAGTATGTAAAAATAATGTTCAGCTTGTCTTTTCATTTTGCATTCCCAGAGTTCAGAAAGAAGTGTTTCCTTTTTCTAGAAAAAAAGCCTAATCATTGCTGCAGTGCATGAGTGAAGCCAACTAGTTGTAAAGTAAAGTGAAGGCTTGGTCTTGATAATGATTTGATGGTTTTCGGTCTTGATCTTGACTTGTCTCACTTTCATTTGGAGTCTTGACTTTACTTCCTTAATACTCAGTCTCAGATAGTCCTCATCTTGGACTTGGACAATAGTGGTCTTGGCTACAGCCCTAAGAACCACTGAAACACCGGTGGTCACCTGAAAAAGCATGTGATGCCTGTTCTTTAGACAAGTAAATTTGTCCTCCATCTTATATAGACAGGTGTTATAGGGCAATTATTACAGGCTTTTTGTGGGGGAATTATATTCTTCTTCTGCTGCTGCTTATTATTATTATTATTATTATTATAGTTTGATAACTATCTGAATCTAAATTTGTGAACACTGAAAATGTATTTGAATATAGATGCTTGACTTTTTGAGAAACATGAATCTCTGAACACAAATAAAAGTACTTTGAATTTCAGTGTATTTGAAGCAATTTATTTCGCTGCTATAAATTCAATGGCAGGGGTGTCACTATTTTCCTGATAAGCCATTGTCTGAGGTAGATTACAGCAGATAGGTCTGAAAAATAGGCCTTCCTATTC